TCTGAGGAACAATGTGCTCATTAAAGGAGCAAACAGATTAGACCTGTTTTTCAATTGATGGCCCTGAAAAGAGTCTGGAAGACTTGTCTGCCCCAGCAGGTACATGCTTCTCTCCTGCCCCACCTGCTTTCTCTGGAATGTGGATACCAGTAGATACCTTCATTTACAAATCACAATGTAAAGGAAAGAGAGACATTTCTCTCTTCATAAATGAGCTCCATGTTGTAATAAGAATGTCTAAATAACTGTGATACATCTTGTACTTTGATTCTCATCTGAAACAACTGTACTAATTGATGTTAATTGGTGTTGGTACAGTATTAATTAGTAAAGACTGATTCATAATCATTTTCTTAACCAATTTATAACTTAGTTTCTGTTACCTACTTAACTCATCATTTCATTTATCACAGTAATGGGAAAATCACTCCTCATTTCCTTCCAATTTCAAACATGAGTTTAAATATTGTTTGAACATCAAATGAACTAAATTCCTATAAGGTTACGATATTCCTGGGAATTCATTCTCTTTGGGCAGAACATAAAAGGAGACGATAAGATGATTGGTGATGCGGGGATTTTCCAAGGAGAAAATTAAACTTGAGACACTTAAACCTAAAGTCTTGTAGAGCAATAATAGCATAATGTGCCAAAGCCTCTTAGTAGATATTTGTATTTGGCTTTGAATTTTCACTATTAGATCTATTTGCTTGTCTTAAATCTCCTCTTTGTGGTGGCATGGCTGAAGCTTAATGACTCCTTTGAACTGCTGTCATCCCCGGCAGAATGGCTTTGGAAATGTCAACCAACTAACCTTTAGTCTCTTTCCCACATCCAGCAACAGTAAAGGGCCCATAATACCCAACTTTCAATTCCAGACCACCTCCGCTATTCATAAGGACTTAATCATTTTATTCATCACACATGCAAACATGCAGCCGTGGTTGTAATACTCGAGTTGTGACACAGCACTTGGTGTTGGTAAGAAGTTCATACACGTTTACCACGACCTTCTGGGCTGTGATACATAAATATTCAAAGGAAGTCATTTGACCATTAACTATGTTGATGCTTCAGTGAGAAATTCTCATTTTAATTTTTTTATGTGTTTTTTTCTCAAGCTATGGTTCTTAGCAATGCTGTATACTAATGCAGTAGTAAAAGAATAACACATTTTAAAACAATAATAAATATAGTTTTTTTCCCTTTTATCATATAATCTATTTACATTTGTCTTATGTGGTTTTACAAACATCAAGTTGAACTACTACTACTACTAACCTGAAGACATGGTTTTAAACGATCTTTTATCAAAAACATACAGTAGACTGTTACTTTTTATTGTTTCCATTTTGCACATACTTTACTGTAGGGTAGGATTATAACTTCAAATTTGCCCAAACACGATTTGGAAGCTGGGTTCTAAATGAGATACATGGAAATTGTTTTGGTTTTTTTTTCTTATTTATAGCTGAACAAACCACATTATTCTGCTCAGACGTCATGTTCTATCATATAAACTCTCCAGTTTAGAAACCTTTGGATTTTTAGCTGGAGTTCATGTTACAGTAAACATTGGATTCTATTAAATACGTTTTAATGCAACGGACTGTTTGCACGAGACTGATTATTTATGGGAACTACTGGAATATTTTAACTTAAAAAACTTGCATTTAAGCCAAATGGAAACCAATCGTACATATGTACAAATGTGATTTGTCTATAAACATAATGACTTTTTCAAGGTTTCAAAACCTTAGAGACATCTGTCTTTTTCTTTTTCTCTTAAAAACTAAAGTTTTGGCGAGCAGTCAAACTGGCCTCTGATTCATCATGTTGCTGTTGTTCTTTATTGTTTTGCTACCAATTAACCTTTTCTTCATTCTTTAAACAAATCAAATGTAACTGTTATCTCTTCTGATCCAGGAGTATATTTAGATGACATTTATTGTATTGATAATATTCAAACAATTATCAACATGCTAATCAGAAACACATTTCATTGGTTTTACCTTGTATGGGCCTTATGTCTTCTGGACTTCACAGACCATATGTCGTGGAGATACAGTACTGGCTGTTTCTCTGTCTTTGCTGCAGAGACAGTCTCTCGATG